GATTTAAAAATATAGCAATCAATATTGTTAATGCTAGAAATCTGCATAAAGAATGATTTTACATTAGTAAAATAATTGAAACGTTCAAAGTTTTTTAAATAAAAATAATAAAAGTACGTTTTTAAATCTTTGATTGGTTATTGTATACTTCGATGCCGAAAGCAATATATAGCAGGCAGGCAAATATTATATGAAGTTTATAAAATGAAATTCGACTCAGAAATAGTTAAGGATATCCATAGCATATATAGAATATGACGAACAAAGCCAACTTGAAATTGCAAAACTTTGATAATCTCATACAACAGTACCGGCGGTCGTTGTTCGCTTGACAAGTGCAGTAATAAAATTCGAAAAAGTCAGATCTTGTACTCGACTACTTCAGAATTGAACTGAATTGATTTTTGAAAAGTTTTAAAAGATATTATTCGAAGTTTTCTTCTTAAAAAATGTATTTTATCTAAGAAAATAGACCAGTAACGTAACGCGCTATTATAATGAAAGAGAAGAAATCATTTTATGAAATTCTTGTGATGGTGATATTTCATTCAGGTAACAAGTTAATATATTAATATTATTTATAGGATAGAGTAGAGCTTGAAGAGCCAGAAACAAGTTAAAAAAATTTTAAAACACTATTTAAAAGTAGAGGGCAAAAGATGTATAAGCGATCATCAACTTGACTCATATGACGTTTTTATCAGGAGATAAACGGCAATGTTTGAAAATTCATAACAAAAGATATGAATAGATATTTCAAAGTTTTATTCAGATTATCTCTATATAACTTCTATAAAAGCTTGCATGTGGGTGAGTTAAAAAAAACAACCAGGGTAAGGTATAAAAAATAAAAAATAGTGTATAAAAAGTTAATTAAGTTAAAAATAAATTAAATAAATAGTTATTCCAACTCTCCTGATAATATTGCTGACGTAATACTAGATCAAGGTTATATGAAGTAGTATATTTGTAAAAAATATACCCATAAAATGTATATCTTGCATTGAAACTTTTAATATAATATTACTTTTTGATTAAACCACAATGGCTATTTCTAAGTAAATCTTAAAGATTACGAATAAAGTTCCGGCCAGTATATTTTTAATACGCTTAATATCAATTGATGTTTTAAGGATATTTCATTGAAATATGAGAAGCAGATCTAAAATTAGAAGTGTAATTCAATTTTCCTTCCATAAAGTAATTTTCATTTCCTTTCAACTTAATATTAAAAAGGAGACCGTAGTAATTTTCAATAATGGGTTCATTGAAGCTACTTCATAAAAAGGAAGAATATTAAAAAATAAAATATTAACTTACTTGAGTAAAATTAAAGTTGTCAATTTTTTTGTTGAGAATAAATTTCAATGAAAACAGAATTTGAACATTTTTAAAAATAAATTTAGGATTTGGTCAGCATTAACAACTACAGGTATTCCTCATCATCTATTTGTTTATTAAAATAATTCAAAGAAACCATGTCTTCATAAAAATATTTTTATAAAAAATTTCGACCAAAAAAATATAAATTATTTTCCGAAATGTTACAGTAACTATTTACTCAGTAACACATATTATAAAAAGCGAATAATCTAAAATAAGCAAGATAATCATAAATTATTTGTCAAAAAGATCTAAACTCAGAACCAGTTCAACAAATAAAAAAACTAAATATTGTAACTTAATAAGATGTGAGTAAAAAGCTAATATAGCCAAGTATATTATTGAAGCAATGAACCATAAAAGTATAAATTTTATAATTTCAGACTTCAAAAATCTTCAAATTATGCGATATAGAATGTCTATATGACATATTTCTAACAACTTAATTATAATAACAAATTTCAATTAAATAGCATTTTTTTTCATAATAACTACATGCAGTCGGTATTGCCTAATTTCTGTCCTCCCAATAATGTCAACCTAATAAACCCACTGTAATTAATAAAATATCTCTCCAAAGAGCAAGGTATGAATAAATAAATAGTTATTGGCGGTGCCGGAGAACAACCATTAGTACTATTTACCCAAGGCATTAAATATTCACGAAATCACACATAACTTTTGCTTAAAAGCAAATTCAAAACAATTTCACCAAGTGAATTAAATGCCTGAATATTTTTGCAGACAGCAAACAGTTAACATTTATCACATGTGTTCATCGTACGTGGTCGTAATTTATTTTTATGGGCGCATATATAAATAATATGTTTGCATGTGCAGATAGAGAAAAAATGTACATACTATCAAAGTTTTTATTTTTAGTGGATAATGAAAGAGAAAAATTAAAATATTCGTTTACGCCACGCAAAAATTAATAGTCTAAATTAAAATTTAATGAATTATTTTATTTATGTGTATATCGAAGTTATTTCGATTGAGCTATGCCACACATTATTGAATCTTATGTTGTTTTAATTTTCTATATTTGTAAATAATCAGATGCTCACAGAATGCAACTTGTAAATTACAAGTTAACTCGTAAATTACGAATAAAAATACTGAGAATAATTTTTAGATTCATGTTAAAGTATTAGTCTTTAACATGAATCAAATTCACAAATTTCAGTTAAAACATTTGATTCAATAAATAAATAAATAAATTATAGTCAGCTAAAAGCTAGTTTTTCATAGCTAATTCAGTTATCCACACAAGGTTGTCAAATATCTCCCTTCCGCCTTTTTGTATTATAAACCAAGAGCAAAAAAGCGGAAGGGAGATATTTGACAACCTAATATATAAATGAAAAAAGTATTTAGAAACTATATAGTTTTTTATATATAGTTTTTTGTAATTTTATTGCACAGCTCTTCTCCGATTTGATCCAGAAATTTGCATTATATAGTAATTACCCATTGAGGTAATCTATCACTATCTAATTACTATTTACGATTATATTTGAAAAACAATAAAAAAATTTACTTACAAAATGTACTCAACGTTCTGATTGTTATCATTACAAAAAAAATAAGAACTATCTTTTCACAGCAGAAAATTTATATGGAACTCTGTTTTTCCTGTAGGATATGTATGAATATTTAAATGTTTAAATGCAAAATGCGATTTACATCGAAAAACTATTCAAAATATTCGTAAAATCTCATAAAATGTTATCGACAGATTCATCTCAAGATTTTTTTCTATACATTGGAACTTCTATACATAAACGAGTCAGACTCCTGAAGTTTGAGGACAATTGTAAAATTGATAAGTCTAATGATTTTGATTATTTCTTTGTATTAATTACAATAGTATCGACTATATTAATGAATCTTAGTATTTTAACGTATCCGCGTCTCTAAAAGTTTAATATTTACAAAAATGGAAAATTCATAATTATAATAGAATAACTTGTCAAACCATAAAATTGTATTTAGAAAATCATGAACTTTGAAAAAGAAATTTTTATTCAGCAACTTCTAAAAAAAATATAATAATTCTAGAAACAATTTTTTTCAAAATGTTGAACATACTTCATTTTTCCACTTTCACTTTTCATCAAGTGAAACTACGTGAAAAATATATAAGAATTTTAGAAGTTGAACATTTTCAAATATTCAAATTTGAATTTAAAATTTTTAGAAAACCAATAATTTTTTCTTACAAAATTTACTATTTTCAAAAATTCTTAGAAAATGTGTACCAAATTACCTACTATTGTAATGTAGAAATTTATTTGTACGAACCGGCACGTCCTAGGATTTGCTTGTTGGCATAAAGCTTTGACAAATATTTATAATTTTTTCTCTATGTGTTTCTACGCATCAGAAACCAGAGTATAACATATGTTTCTGCAGACAAGTACAAAATTTACCTAACAATTATGTATTACTTCATACAGAAAATTTAAATAAAGACTCACCGTGCGCGTGTGCTGCGGTTCGTCCAGACGGCTGTCGGACGGGGCGACCCTCAGCGTTTCCTCGGTCGCGCGGCCGCTGCTCTGTAATGAGAGACGACGGACGAACATGAGATTACAGACATTGCTAATTGAGACAGGAATGGCTAAAAGATAGATTAAAGGCAGGGCCAAAGATAATATTAGTCCTCCTCCATGTGTTGTTGTATTAACTGTTGTAACCAACAAAAACTCCACTTATTGTAGCTAGTTTAAGTAAAAATTATTTTAATGAAAACTTAGTTTTTGTTCTTGCTTGCCAAAAATCCATGTCACTGAATCTTGGTTTCTGATCTTCCATATAGATCAAAAAGAAGTTCTTTCACTACAATTAATTCTGACACTCTTTGGTATCTTGGCTTTCAATCTATTTTTTTAATTATTCTGGAACAGCAATCAGCACCTAATAGTCCATAAGCTATTGTGCTGATTTGACTTAATACTAGACAGATGGTGACCCAAACAATTGTCACATATCTGTATGATATGTTATTATTACAATTTCTGTAATAGCGCGAGTACTTTTATTAGTGCAGCAATGTCGGGTGAGGACTATTTTCACTTGGAAACATATTGCTATCTATATTTTAAAGTGCAAATCGTCGACACTGTTGCCTGACAACAGGCTGCACAAAGAAGGTATCGAACCCGGGACCTCTGAATCAAGACCCGTCGCTTTTAACCGCTTACTTACGGACGAGCCCTTGATCCATATGAATAATCATATATATTTTTGCAAACTTTAATGATTTTTTTGAATTAAACTACTTGCCACAGGGCCGTATCATTTTAGTACGTTTTCATCGAAAAAATTGTCAATATTCAATTACGAAGACACGGCTCGGCCGTTCCCAAATAATATCGTTACAAGGTAACCATTAGGTTTACTCTTCTGGGATTTTGATAAAACTTCGCATGGTTGTAGAGTTGATTGTCAAACCAAACACCTTTAAATATTAGAGTCCTATGAGAAGCGGTTTAATTATAAAAATTAAATAAAAATTGATTAAAGCTGCGAAAAACGCGATAAGTCTTATATCTACGCGCGTTGCGCTCCGTATCTCTGTGTCCAGATTGTTAGGATAGTTTTTGAATTTTTCAAATCGCTTCAGAATTTTTGGCTAAAATGTGGATAATTTTTTTTTACTTAGAAACGACTCAGCCGATCGTATCTAAAATCTAACGAACGCGAGTGCTTATGAAGTTTCCTCGAATGGTTTTTAAATTTTTGAATTCGATTCGACCGTTTTTGAGAAAACATCTATGAAAGATATAATTTCAACTTTAAAACCGATTCAGAATTGCGGGCAAAAAAGGTGGCTGATTTTTTCTCACTTTTCTGCTTTTTACAAAAAAACGGCTAGGCTGGTCGTCGCGCTAAACTGACAAACGTCAGTCCTTATCTAGTTACATCAAACGGCTTTTAAATTTTTGAAATCGACCAAGCCCCTTTAGAAAAAATGTCGACAGAAGGACAAAAATTTGTTCACATACACAACATACTCACATTCGCATTCCAAATTTGATCTCATTCTATCCAGAATGGTTTGACATGTCGAGAAAAAATTAAATTAGCAACTCAGATTTTTTTATGAAAACAAACTTCTTTTTCGGCAAGTTAAATATTTCAATGTTCATCAACTCTATGTCTATTACAGTTGCTGCAAATCAACAATTTCCTCGAAAGATGTGCAAGTGGACGTGTTCTGGTAAAAGCTCTTTAAAGCTCTATTCGCGAGTTGCTCCCTAATGATCAAGAGTATCTTAGGTACTGTTTCGAGGAATCAGGTTTGTAATTGGATAGACAAGTGGTGCGAAAGATACATTGAAACCTCCATCTGAGATACTAGAAATTCAGATATATCAATGATACTTATCAAATAATACTAAGAATAGACGCAATTGTGCGATTTCAAACATACATAATAAGCTGAGATACAATACAACTATTGTTAAGGATTTAATATGAACAGAGTTGTATGATTTAACCAAAATTGATAACAGTTCATCATGACAGAAAATTTAATTGTTGACTTTTTAACTTGCTGTAAATTAAATCAATTGAGTTTAATAGTTGGGGCCTAAATAAATATTATATCAAAAAATCTCGAAAAAAAAAACATATAAAAATCTAATATATTATGAAATAAGAGATAAATAAATAAAAGACAAACCAACACACATAGAGATAAGATTGAACTTTTATTCAAAGCGTCACGATAAAGAACAATATGATTACATTGTTTTTCTGAAATTTTTAATTAATTTTCATCATAAAAATATTTTATGCAAAAATTAACCCTTTATAAAAGTTTGTTTTGACTACGGATCCTACTAGCCCACAATGTTTTATTAAAATTCCAAACACAGAACTCCCGTAAACTCATTTTTGAATTATTGTTCACATTTAGTTTAGGTATATAATTTTTGTAAAACGTTATTTACCACAACCGTATTATTATAAATGTTACATTATAAAGTTAACTAGCAAACGTTTTCTACAATTAATACTTGACTTCCAGTGAAATGTGCATTTAATGAAACTTTCTTCCAAACTCTTTATACCAAAATAGTTTCCACCACGTTGCTTTTCCAGGATCAATAACAAACTGAACAAGAATTGATGAAAAGCGCGTTTCGGAAGTACAAAATACAACTTTACTCTATATTTTTAATCAAGAAAGTGCCTGTTTGATGTAACTGAAATATTTATCTGATGCTTGAATAAAGTTTGTTATATACATTGAAATAAAACTTCTGCGTTTTGAATATACAAGCGTTAATGGAAATTGTCTAATGAAATATTAAAAAGAAAATTGAATAAATATTAAATTCTTGTAAACAATTAGGAACTCGAACGATATAAATCTGACAAAAAAGTCTAATCGAAAACGCACGGTTACGAAAAATACTATCATATATTATTTAGTATATAATATTCAGTAATTATTGTGATTAATATGCATTAGATGAAACAAAAAAAGGTTACTGAGTGATGGCACACCTTTATTTTTTTAGTATAATAGAATATTTTGGCGCCGATGTTACTTGAAAATAAAACCGTTACATTTCTACACAAGTCGAATGAAATATTTATTGGGCCAATTTTTTTATTCATTGGGACTAATATTTTGTCACTTGTTTATAAAATAGAACAAACTAAAGAGATAACTGTTGTAAGCAATTATGAGGTTTGAGATAAATAATATTATCGATATAGTATTTATGGTATTTATTTATATGTGTGTTTGAATGTGTGTGTGTATGTGAAATGATATAAACCAAATAGCTCATAGGATTGTACTAGAATCTGATTGATTTGGAAATAAAATAAAACTAGTGGTGTATGTCATCGTGCCTTAACGCAAATTGCTGGAACTTCCCTTTTGGGGAACATTAAATGTTTTCAAATAGATTTTTATAAATACTGTAACTTATATAAGTTTACAGAGAACTAAACTTATAAACAAAACTTAATCAATCGAATTTAAAATGAAAAACATTGTATATTATTTATAAGAATTATATACATTAAAGTGCAAAGTTGAAGTGTATAAGTGAGCTTTAGAACTTTAACTAGAAAAAAATTGGAATTATTTTCGATATTCAAAACAATTTTTGTTAGGAAATAGTAAAAAAAAAATTGTCCAGGATCAATCGTTTCGTCAACTCAAGGAGAAAGTTGTATAAATCAATAAAATCGAATGCTAAGTTCTCTCAAAAACTACCATTTTTTGCACATTTAGCCCGGTATCTCCGAAATGACTGGACCTGCTTTTACATATACCTAGATCATACATACATATACACACATACACGCACGCACACACACATCCATTTTTCTGAGGTAAGCTAACATGTTTAGAAATCTTCAAAACGTAAAGAAATATGTAAAATTTCCAATCTCGATTTGTGGACGATTACAATAATCTACGGGAAGTTAAATAAAAACAAGATGTTTTGGAGAAAATCAAATTCAAGCGTAACATATGTCAATTAGCGCTTATGTTTTTATACCCAACTAGCAAACCCGACGAACTCCGTTTCGCCACCAGATGGTTTCGTGAGAAAGATGAAGAAATTTTTTGTTTGTTTTATATTTGAAAAGGAAAAAATTGATTTTATTATATAACAGTAATGAATTTATTTTGATTACAAAAATGAAGTGTTTTTAGTTGAACTTCTCTAAGTAAATGAAAGTGAATCCGCAAATTATCCGTTTTATTGAAGTGTTTTTGGTAAACCATATTTTTTCTGATAATTCTCACTAATGTCATTACTCAAATTTTTAATTACGGTGCGTGAAGTTCCAGCAATTTGCATTGAGGCACGATGCCATGCACCACTAATTTTCTTAGCTATAAACCTTGCGGAGCCCGAGACCTTTTCAACGAATGCAAAATTGTCAAAAGAGTTATATCGTCAGGAAGGAAAACCCCACTTATGTTTATATATATGTAGATATTTTTGAAGTAAATACCTTAGACGGTATACCGGTATTGCACACTCTACTTATATCACTGATGAGGATAAACTTATGAAATATTTATAAATAAAACTTATTTATCATACACATAAAGAGAATATACAAAATAACCAGATCTCTCTTTCGAATTTTCACTCACATTTTTCCAGCAATGGGAAAATCCATCTTGTTGCTTTCTGCGGATTCTTCGCGGAGCCGGCATCATATATCGTGACAATCTGCGGTGCGAATGGCGAGCGATCGATACCCAATCGATCATTTTGTATCGCAATCGCGATGATTCTCCTCTATGAAACCGTCGATCAAAATCACTTCGCGGTAGAGATGCCGTGACAAGTCATTGCGTTTTATTATCGAAAAACGATGGTATTTCGCAAAGTCATATAATAAGAGGAGTACACGCGGAATTGGAAGCTGAGAACGAACTTTACGCTGGTAATAATAAGCTGGTGTGAAATCAGAATATTAGATATTCTGATATTCTAAAGTTATCTAAAAGGTTTAAACACAAAAGTAATTATTCAAGAGAAGTGACAAACCTATAATGCACAATACCGAC